TTAATTGCGCGCACACAGATTTAATAACACACATGCACACACAGATATAATAGCATACACACACATAGTAATGCCACACACACATAGACTTAACACCACGTAGACACACACACTCACACACACACACAGGTTTAATACCACAGACACACACAGCAAGAGGACACAAGGATGAGCAGGCTGCTGGTGTGTGTGTGTGTGCGTGTGTGTGTGTGTGTGTGTGTGTGTGTTTACTCCTCACCTTCATCTGTTTGACTGTGTATCGCAGCGTCCCGAACGGACCATCGTCCAGTAGCTTCTTGCCCACCACTTTAGCCCTGATCACTGCGAACACACACACACACACACACACACACACATTGTTGAGGCATCATGGGTACTCTCTGGAGCACAGCACACAATAAACAATCCCAGACTGCATATACACAGATGAAACACCTGATTAGTCTGATTTAAAGATGAAGCGAGATCAATCAGAGTGATCAGCAGCTCTGACAACACACACACACGCGTCTGTAATGTTTAGAAGTGTGTGTGTGTGTCAAGTTTTTTAAAGTGTTTGTGTATATGTATGTATTACGTATGTGACGTCTATATATGTGTGTGTGTGTGTATATATGTGTGTGTGTGTTTATATGTGTAAAGTGTGTGTGTGTGTCACACAGTGTTGGCCAGATTCTGGTGTGTGTGTGAGGAACTAGACTGCTTCCTCAGAGACTGCAGAATGAGGCCGAAGCCTCAATCCCATAATGCCCTGCAAACCCTAGTAACCTGATCCAGTGTCCAGCACCGACACACACTCCTCATCATTAACACACTCACACACACACCGGTCTGACCTCTTGTTGACACTCAGGGTTAATCGGTCATGTTGTTGACCTCTGCTTTGCTGTGCCCTGATTGGCTGAAAGCCACTTAATAGTTTTCTGTGTGTGTGTGTGTGTGTGCGTGTGTAAGTGTAGCCCAGTTCCAGACCACGGCTGTTTATTAGTGTGTGTGTGTGTGTGTGTGTGTGTGGGCACCTGACCGGCCCTCCGTCCGTCCCGCAGGCTATATTTAAGAGCAGCCGTCCTCTGAATCATACATGAGCGCCCGCTGTCACTCATGCATATTCATGAGCGCTAACACTCTGATTTACATGGCAGAAAGTAGGTGGCGGCCGGCCGGACTGATGGAGGGATGATGGAGGAGTAAATGGGTTACAACAGCAGATCCTCCTCTGCAGGAGTGATTCACGGCTGACAGAGGCGTGTAAGTGTGTGTGTGTGTGTGTGTGTGTGCGCGTGTGCGTGTGTGTGTGTGTGTGTGTGTGTGCGTGAGTGCGTGCGTGTGAGTGCGTGCAGTAGATCAGAGCTCCTGCTCAAAGCACAGAGTGTAGGGCGCAACACTAATCTGGAGCCCTAAAGAGTGAATGAAGCGTTTCCATCCCTTCTCAAGACCTGCCAACTGCAGATCTACACACACACACACACACACACACACACACACACACGCAGGACACTCATTTACTCAGATACTGATCAAAGCTCACTGAACTTCACACAAACAAGTTACGTCAACCCAGAACGAGTGTTAAAGTGTTTGATCTGACCTCAACTGCATATGGCATATGGTAGCTCCTCCCCTTTTAAAAATCTGCCAATGGTGTGTTCGTTTTCTCACATTTCTGCCTGTGTGTGTGTCTGTGAGTGTGAATTTCTGTGTGTGAATAAGTACGTGTGTGTATTCGGATGAGTTTGTGTGTTGATGGGTGTGTGTCCGTTTATGTGTATGAGTGTGTCTGTGTTTGTATGGGTAGATAAGTGTGTGTGTTTAGATATGTGTTTGTGTGTGTGTGTGCGCGTGCATGTGGATGAACATGCATGTGTCTGTCTGTCTGTCTCTGTGTGTGTTTGTGTGTGTGTGTGTCTGTATCTGTGTGTGGATGAGTGTGTGTGTGGATATAAATGAGTATGTGTGTCTCTCTATGTGTGTGTGTGTGTGTGAGAGTGTGTGTTTGGAGGAATGTTTTTGGCAGTGTGTGTGTGCTGCTGTGTATTTCTGCCGCCTCTGTTTTATGATTTAAGCAGCACATTGGCACATCAGTGATTCATTTGAGAGTACAGAGAGAAAGAGAGAGCTGCTGAAGCTCATGAGTCACCATCTTCATCATCATATTCATCTTCATAATCATCATCATCATCATCATTAAATGAAACCGTTATCTACAATATCATGAGCTTTAATCCACAGCCTGGCCAAACAGATCTGTGTGCATCTGTGAATGTTGACCTGTCGCTTTAAAGACAAAATAATCTCTATAATATCATGAATAATGATTCATTTCTAACACAGAGTTATTAAATTGATCTTACAAATCTTAGTGAACTTTATTTAGGTTAAATAACATCAGGTGCTGTTAGCTCATCAGCTCCCGTTAGCTCATGTTCACTCACTGTGCGTTAGCTGTAATGTAAGTGTACTTTAATAATGCATTAGTAAGTGTTGACCATGACTCTGAAGTGTTAGTGTTATTGTAAACTCTGATCAACTGCTGTTGCTCTCCATGAAATTTCAATGGGATATTGATAATGGCTCAGATTTCTTTGTGAGCGATATCAAAGCAGTTTTTGGAGACACTTGAATTCTTCCTAACATACGGAGACGTGTGTGTTTGTGTGTGTGTGTGTTCGTCTACATCCACACTGAAGCGTATGCTGTCTTCGTTGGCCCGCAGCCGTCGCTCCATCTGATGCCTCTGGAAATATGCTACACATGGCAGCGGCTGCGAAGCCTTCTGCATTCTGAAATCTGCACGCCTGGAGCCGAGCCACCGATTCACACACTCACAATAGCTGCAGTCTTCGCCTTTCATACAGCATGAATACCAGCACAAAGCCAGAGTCACATTTTATGGGACATCTCAATATCTAGTTTATCCACAAACAGATCATCAGTATGCTGGTCATATGTGGCCTCTTAAGCAGACAGTCCGGCTCCGCTTATCCTCCGCTGAGCCTCAGGAGCCGCAAACTCCAGACCCACATTTTCCTGTCAGATGAGCGCAGGTCAGGAGCAAAACAACCAGCTTAGGCAGAGATTATAATGCTGGGATATGCCGGCTGAACAAACTTAGAATTAGTTTAGGGTTGACAAAACATCAAACTTCAAATCTGAACACAATCTAAACCTGACTTTAACCTGAACACAACATGACCATAACCTAAACATAACCTTAACACAACCTGACTATAACCTGAACACAACAAGACTATAACCTAAACATAACCTAAACACAGCCTGACTATAACCTGAACACAACAAGACTATAACCTAAACATAACCTAAACACAGCCTGACTATAACCTGAACACAACAAGACTATAACCTAAACATAACCTAAACACAGCCTGACTATAACCTGAACACAACATGACTATAACCTAAACATAACCTAAACACAGCCTGACTATAACCTGAACACAACATGACTATA